TCTCAAATACCCCCATCTTTCTCACCCCCCGTAAATAAAACCCCCTCTCCCACTCACACCCCCTCTCATACACCATTTCTCACGCACCCCCCCTTTAAAACCACCTTCATACACCCCCTCATGAACCCATACCCCCTCATACTCCCCCTCATACCCCCTATTATACAAACCCCTCTCTCATACCCACCCCTTCCTCAAACCCCCCTTTCCCCATAAAACACTCCCCCCCTCATACCCCACACCTTCATAAGCCCCCCTCTCATACACCCCTTTCATCAAAACTTCCGCTTTTCAAACACCCCCCCAATACAACCCCCCTCTCTTTACACCCTTTCTCATACACACCCCTCTCTATACACACACCCCCTCATATCACAAACCTATCATTATACACAGCCCTCATTTTAAATACCTCTAATACACAAAACAATCAACCTCTCTCATACACCCCTCTCATACACAACCCTCAATCACCCCCTCCATATTCACCTCCTTTCAATACACACACCCTCTATACACACACCCTCTCATACACACATCTCATACACACACCCATCCTTAACCCCCCATACACCCCCCTCAAAACCCCCCATAACCCCTCTCATAACACACCCTCTCATACCCCCCCAACACCCCCTCTCAACACAAACCCTTCATACCCCCCCCTCTCATAAAACGCCCTTCTCATACACTACCCTCTAAAACCCACCCCCTCTCATACACAAAGACCCCACATTCACACCCCTCTCATACACCCCCCTCCTCAAACTCACCCCCCTCTCATACCACACCCCTCTCATACTTACCCCCCTCTCATACTCACAACCTCTCATACTTACACCTCCCCTACACACCCCCTTCATCACACATGTTCCCCCCCTCATACACCCCCTCATACACCCCTTCAAACACCCCTCTTTCACACCCCCCTCTCTTTACACCCCCTCAATATACCCCTCTCATACCCCCCACATACACCCTCTCATACACCCCCTCCATCACACCCCTCTCATACACACACATTCTCACGCACCCCCCCCCTTCATACACCCCCCTCTCAATACCCTTACCCCCCTCTCCCCCAAACAACCCTCTCTCATAAAACCCCCAAACCCCTCCTTTCACATCCCCTCTCATACACACACCTCTCAAACCCCCCCCTCTCATACTCCATCCCCTCTAAATACCCCCCCTTTATACCAAAACCCCTCCAAAACTTAACACCCCCTTTCATAACACCCTCTCATCCCATTATGCTTCTCTACCCCACCCCTCATACACCCCCCTCAACACCCCTTTAAAACCCACCCCCCCCATACACAATACCCCTCTCATTCCCCTCTCATACAAAACCCCCCCATACACCCCTCCATACACACCCTTCATCCACCCCCCTCCATACACCCCCTCCACTCAAAACCACCTTCCATACACACACCCCTCAACGCACACCCCCTCATAAAACCTTCATAACACCCCCTAAAATGCATACCCCTCTCATACTCCCCCTCATAACCCTTTATACAAACCCCTTTCAACCCACCCCTCCAACACCCCTCTATACACACCATTCATACACACACCCCTCATAACACCCCCCTCATACACCCCTTCATACACACACCTCTCATAAAACCCCTCTCATACAACACACCTCTCTCATACAACACCCCTTTCATACCACACCCCTCATACACACCCTCTCATCCACACCCTCTCCTTCACCCACACAACCCTACCCCCTTATAAAACCCCAACCCTCTCATACACACACCCCTCCATACCATCCAACAACCCCTCTCATCACCACCCCTCTCATACACCCCTCCATACACACCCCTCTAAAATACACCCCTCTCATACAAACCCCTCTCATACCACACCCCTCTCATACACAAACCCCTCTACATTCAACACCTTTCTCATACACACCCCCCAACCTCCTCATAACAGCAAAACCCCCCCTCTCATCCCCAACCCTCTCATACCACACACCCTCTCATACCAACACCTTCTCATACAACCCTCTCATACACACCCCCCTTTCTCATACACACCCCCTCCATACCTTAACCCCCCTCAAACACACCCCTCTCATACCCCCTAAAACCCCTCTCCACATTCCCCCCAACACCCCTTTTCATACACACCCCCCTCTCATACCACACCCTCTCATCCCACCCCCTCTCATACAAAAACCCCCCCTCCATACTCAAAACCCCCCCATCCCTTAAACCCCTTTTAAACACACCCCCCTCATACACAAAAGCTCTCAACACACCCCTCATACACCCCTTCAACACACCCCCTCATACCCCCACCCCTCATATACCCCTCTCATCCACAACCCCTCTCTTTAACCCCTCTCATACACACCCCTCTCATACACACAGCTCTCATACACACCCCCCCATACACCCCCCCCCCATACACTACCCCTCTCTAAACACACACCCCTCTCATAACCCCCAACAAACTCTCAAAATTCCCCCAAAACACCCCCCCCCTCATAAAAACCCAATCAACCCTTTTAACACACACCCCCTCTCATACTCACACCCCTCTCATTTTACACCCCTCTACATACTCACAGACCTCTCATACTTACACCCTTCAACACAACCCCCAACACAAATGTTTCTCATACACACCCTCATAAACCCCCTTCAAACACACCCTATTACAAAAACCCCCTCTAACCCCTCCTCAACACACCTCATACACCCCCTCATACACAACCCATCATGCTCAACCCGTCTATAACACACCCCCTCTCCCATCAAAACATCTCATAAAACACACATTTCTCACGCCAACCCTCATAAACCTCAACACCCCCTCATGCACATACCCCTCTCATACCCCCCCTCATACACCCCTATTATACAAACCCCTCTCTCATACACACACCCTCTCATACACCCCTCTCATACACACTCCCCTCTCATACACACCCCCCCTCATACCACCCCTCTCATACACTCACCCCTCTCATACACCCCTTTCATACACACACCCTCTCATACACCCCTCTCAACACACACCCTTCTCATACACACAACCCCTTCAAACAAACCCCCTCATGCTCACACTCGTCTCATCCCACACCCCCCTTATCAACCCTCTCATACCACACCCCCCCATACACACTCCCCCCTTACACACTCCCCTCATACCCCATACCCCTTCATACATCTGTCTTATACACACCTCCCCTACTCGTACTCCTCTCGTACACCCTTTTCATACGCACACCTCTTTGATACACACACACACCCCTCACACACACCCCTCTTATACACAAACCTATTTCTACAACACCCCTTTTCATATACACACCCCTCATACATCCCCTCTCATACACAAACCCCTCTCATACACCCCTCTCATACATACACACCTCTCTCAAACAACACACCTCTCATACCATCCCCCTCATATACCACCCTCTCATACACACAGCCCTCATTTAATACCCCTCATACACCCACACCTCTCATACACTTTCCTCATACACCCTCCATACACACACCTCTCTCATGCAAAACACCCCTCTTAACACACCCCTCTCATACACACACCCGTCTCATACATACACCCCTCTCCTACATATACCCTTCTCATACACCCCTCCTCATACACACACCCCTCTCATACACAAACCCCTCATACACCCACTCATACACACCCCACATCATAAACACCCCTCTCATACGCCCCCTCATACACAACCCTCTCATACGCCCCTCATACACGCCCCCCCTCTTTCACACACACCTATCTCATACACACACCCCTCATGCACACACCACTCTCATACACACCGCCCTCATACAAATACCCCTCTCTTCCACCCTCTCATGCACACACCCCCTCAACACACACCCTCTCATACAACCCTCTCAAACACCCCCTCATACAGACACCCCTCTCATACTCACACCCCTCTCATACACCCATCCTCTCATACTCATACTCCTCTCATACACCTCTCCTACACACACTCTTTCATACACACAACCACTCTCATACAAACGCCTCTTCATACACACACCTCTCTTACACACACCCCTCTCATACACACCCCCTCATGCTCACACTCGTCTCACCCACACACCCCTCTTATACAACTCTCTCATACACACACCCTCTCATACACACTCCCCTCATATACATACCCTTCTCATACATCCTCTTATACACTCCTCTCATATTCGTAGTCTTCTCATACACCCCTTTCATACACACACCTCTTTGATACACACACACACCCCTCACAACAGACCCCCCTCATACACAAACCTATTCATACACACACCCCTGTCATATAACATCACCCCTCATACACACCCCCTCATACACACACCCCTCTCATATACCCCTCTCAACACACCCCCCTCATATACACACACCCTCTCATACACACAGCCCTCATGCATAACACCCTCTCATACCACACACACCTCTCTCATACACCCCTCCCCATATTCACACCCTCTCATACACACACCTCTCTCATGCACACACCCCTCTCATACACACCTCTCTCATACACACCCCTCTCACACATACACCCCTCTCATACACCCCTCTCATACACAAACCCCTCATACACCCCCCTCATACACACCCCACTCATACACACCCCTCTCATACGCCCCCTCATACACACATCCTCTCAAACACCCTCTCATCCACACCTTTACCCACAGAAACTCTTCTAACTCTCTGTCTCACTCTCTCTACCCTGTTGAGGAATGTCATATCTTAATATCTAGTCACTTATTTTTTAGGAAGAATCGTGTCTTGCCACTTCCCACTTGGAAGCGTCTAGATAGCCACTTATTCCACAGGAAGCTTTCTATATAACCACTTACAATTTAAAATGCTCCCTATTTATCAACGTACCTCTGGGAAAGCCTCTTGTTATCTAGCCACTTACCTCTTGGGAAGCGTCCTATATATATCCACTTTTTAGGAAGTTCCAAATAACAACTTACCTCTTGGGAAGCGTCCTGTTTAAGCGCAGCCAGCACCACCTGCCTGTTGGGCACACCGTTGACGTTGCCCACGCTACTCTTAAGGGTGCCACAGGTGTCACCGTTTTCTCCCACGGTCGGCGCCTCCCCCAGGTGCACCTGTGGGAGCATAACAGTAAGTCTACAAGTCTTAAAAGACAGTAAGTTACACCTACTTGATTTTTAGTTAAGTCTTCGGTTGAACGTCTGTTAAATGAAGCTAATGTTATCTTATGGTATTGATCAGAGTAAATTCTAGGTGTATATACGCTGATATATACACTTCTGAAGTAAGACAAGATTGTGCTATTAAATGGCAAAACACACATACACACACAAACGTACTCCTGAAGGGGCCAGGAACTGTGACACTACTGCTGTAACCAGATATAAGCGAGTACACACACACATAGACACACAATAAGATACATACCGTGCCAAAGTCTCCTTCGCCCAACTTGTCACCGTAGTGGAGAACCTGGCGGTGGATTTCCCTGGGACTCCTGGGTTTAAGCGTGCTCATACCTTCCATGCAGTACTGAGCTAGTCCACACGGCCCCACCACGCTCACACCCTGTGGGAGAGTGTGGGAGAGTTAGAGTTAGTGATGTAGAGTAAGTGAAAATAACCTGAGAGAATGATGGAGAATGAAAATGAGAGAGAGAGAGAGAGAAAGAGAGAGAGGGAGAGAGAGAGAGAGAGAGAGAGAGAGAGAGAGAGAGAGAGAGAGGAGAGAGAGAGAAACTGCAAGGAGAAGTGATTAAACTGGTAATGTAATTGGATACACAGAATATGATCCTTAGCAACGCCGCACTGAGAAGTGTCCTAGTGCCCTCTGTTCCATCTACTGTTCCACAAGGTGACACTGAGAGGTGTCCCAGTGCTCTGTTCCAACCACTGTTCCACAATACCACACTGAGAGGTGTCCCAGTGCTCTGTTCCAACCACTGTTCCACAAGATCACACTGCGAGGTGTCCCAGTGCTCTGTTCCAACCACTGTTCCACAAGATCACATTGAGAGGTGTCCCAGTGCTCTGTTCCAACCACTGTTCCACAAGATCACATGACAGGTGCCCAGTGCTCTGTTCCAACCACTGTTCCACAAGATCACACTGAGAGAACAGTCTCAGAATGGCATCTCCCAGAGAAATTGATCACTCAACTGATATATAGGAAACTGGTCTGTAAATTAGCAATCCTGGCTTTGGGCTTCGTACTCTCTCGTTGAAAGTTTGACGTTGATCCAGAAATAAATTTACCAAAAACTTTATAACAGCAGCAGTAGCAGAAGAAGAAGAAAGAAGGAGAGAAAGAGGAAAAGGAAGAAGAAATAGCAAGAAGAAAACAGAAAAAGAGAACTTGATAAAGCACTATAAGAAAACAATCAGAACATAAGAAAGGAGAAACACAGACCTCTGTTGGCCCATATTAGGCAGGTCCTTCACAAATCCAACCCACTATTGCTTTAATAAGTGAAGAGATCATAAGGGGAAATTCGTTTACTACCTCCAAGTGCCAGTTCAACCAGGCTGTGACGGAAATGTGATCCCGTGAGCTGCCAATGGTAGCAACCTGGTTGACCATTCAAGCAAGAGGAAAGCCTGTCTCCAGGCTAGGTTGCTGGAATAGGAAAACTATCGATCTGTTCACAGGTATATACAGGTGTCCTAAGCTTAGAGATAATGCAAACTAAACACCGGTGCTTGACCTGCTGTCATGCACTTTAAATACACTTCTGTTGCTACATAAACTTAAACCACAAAGGATGTGTCAGGCAAACACACACACACACACACACCACACACGCACATTATATATATATATATATATATATATATATATATATATATATATATATATATATATATATATATATATATATATATATAATATATATTTATTTATTTATTTATTTATTTTTATTAACACATCGGTTTCCCACCAAGGCAGGGTGGCCCGAAAAAGAAAAACTTTCACCATCATTCACTCCATCAGTGTCTTGCCAGAGGCGTGCTTACACTACAGTTATAAACCTGCAACATTAACACCCCTCCTTCAGAGTGCAGACACTGTACTTCCCATCTCCAGGACTCAAGTCCGGCCTGAATCTCTCCATAAACATTACCTTGCTTACCCCAACACAAAGAACACAATCTTTACACATACCTTTCTTCACACCGTAGTAATGATGCATACTGTACAGGTTATCGAAACCAGACGCATTTCATTCCTCAACATTACTCTCCATTTTATTTTGACCTTTTTTTTTTTTTAAAAAGTCAATTATTCGCACCCACTCCGGGGAATTTTTGGATCCACTCGGAATTTTTTTAACCCGATGTTGGTAAACAAATGAGGGCAATTCACCCCAAAGTACATGACAGATGTCGATCATTTCTGGCTGGAATATATTTTTTCGTGTTCTCTCCCCACTTACACAGAGAGAGAGAGAGAGAGAGAGAGAGAGAGAGAGAGAGAGAGAGATAGGGGAAAGGGAGGAGGAAATGCGGGAAGTAAAGGAGGAAGGTGGGAGTAATTGGTGATAAAGCAAGTAATGGAAGAAGAGATAGAGATAAAAATCAAAGCAAAAAGAGAAAGTAAAGATATGGAGAGAAAGAGAAAAGGAGAGAGAGAAAGAGAGAGAGAGAGAGAGAGAGGGGGGGGAGGGTAGGTGTACATGTCTATACTCATACTGTATGTTGACAAGGACTAAATATAATCTACCTACATCAGCTACCACTATCAATACTTCTACTGCTGCTACTACTATTATTACTGTCACTATCATTACTACTGCTGTTACCACTACCACATCAGGTGCTGAAACTAGCACACCACCAAGTACTGGACGGTCCAGGGTGACCCAGTGGTCCAGGTTGGTCCATAAAGTCCCGTGACAATCTCCTAGTCACAGTATCTCGTTGACTCCAATATTTACAAAGTGTGTGTCTTGTCTCTTGTCAATATTGTCGCATCTTTTTCTTAGTCTTGACGTATTTGAAGAGTTTTCCAGCGTTGGCTTTCATGCTGTGTATATTTTTTCCTTTCAACGTCTCGTTTACCTTCATTTTTGCAATTCCTTCCTTTATCTTCGTAACGTTAGCATGATCTTCAGAGACAATATACAAATAAAAATTTTTGTAAGCTTTCCCCTTTTCTTTTTTTTTGACCTATGTTTTGTTAGGTTCGAATAGCGTTCTTCTGACAATAGCAAAGAAAATACATACAATGTATAACAGTTTTTCAGTGGACAAAGTTTCTCACTTGATTAAGCTCTACACATAGCCAGACACTCTCCCAATAAAAGCTTTTTTTCCAGTGTGTCTTTTCTAGCTGTCACCCGAGAGCAGGTTTATTTTTTTCTGCTGCTTCATTTTATCTGCCGTAACATGTTGTCCCTCTGGATATTCACAGAATTTATTCACAGTCTATTCCACATTTCCTTCTACAGTGTTTTGTAACTAGAAGGTCGTTGCAGTTTAAGTTACTGACATCTCAATACATGATTCCAAGTTGGCTGTTTTATAGCGGACCCCCTCAAAACTTTCCAAAGGTCTCCAAACGACGGACGGGTTGGGGTTAAAACTTGTGGCCCCTTTGTGTTTACTTGAGTCAGATAATGTAGCTTCATGTGTCTTTTTGTCTTCCCACCTCACAAATTTTCACCGCCCCTTCAACTTTATTTTTTTTTGTTTGGGAGAAAAAAAACGCTCTTAAATAAGACAGGGTAGTTGGTTTGCGTTAAAAAAACAACTTAAACAAAAAAAAACCATTTTCTTTTTTTTTATTGTTTTCGGGTATTCGGCGAGAAAAAAGAAGGGGGAAACGGTATTTGGCGGGAAATCTACCTTTAAGGGAGAAACTGCGCCCCTACCACCCCAACACGGGGTGGTGGGGTCGTCGTGTTTTGAAAGAACTGTACCCAACCCGAGTGGTGGGGTCGTCAGTCTAAAAAACTTTTACCCAACATGAGTGGTAGGGTCGTCACTGTCTAAGAGACTGTTCCTAACACTGGGGGTAGGGTCGTCCCTGTATAAGAAACTGTTACCCAACACTGGTGGTAGGTCGTCACTGTCAAGAAACTGTTCCAAACACTGAGTGGTGGGGTTTTCATGTCAAAAAAATGTTCCCCAAACACTGAGGGTAGGGTCGTCAGTGTCGTCATAAGAGACTACTACCCAACATGAGTGGTAGGGTCGTCACTGTCATAAGAAACTGTTACCCAGACGAGTGGTAGGGTCGTCACATCTAAGAAACTTTTTACCCCAATAGAGTGGTAGGGTCGTCACTGTCATAAGAACTGTTACCCAACATTGAGTGGAGGGTCGTCACTGTCATAAGAAACTTTTTACCCAACACGAGTGGTAGGTTGTCACTGTCATAGAAACTGTTACCCAACCGAGTGGTAGGTCGTCACTGTCATAAGAAACTGTTACCAAACACTGAGTGGTAGGGTCGTCACTGTCATAAGAAAAAGTTACCCAAACATGAGTGGTAGGGTCGTCATTTGTCTGTCAAAGAGACTATTTACCCAACATGAGTGGTAGGGTCGTCACTGTCATAAGAAACTGTTACCCGGGCACTGAGTGTAGGTTTCGTCACTATCTTAAGAAATGTTACCCAACACATGAGTGGTGGGTCTCACGGGTCACAAGAGATGTTACCACACAGGGTGTAGGGTCGTCATGTCATAGAGACTGTTACCCAACACTGAGTGTAGGGTCGTCACTGTCATAAAGAACTGTTACCAAACACTGAGGGGTAGAGTCGTTCCTGTCATAAGAAACTGTTGCCCAACACTGAGTGGTAGGGTTCGTCCTGTCAAAGAAAATGCTACCCAACATGAGTGTAGGTCGTCACTGACATAAGAGACTGTACCCAACATGAGTGGTAGGTCGTCACTGTCAATAAGAAACTGTTACCCAACACTGAGTGGTGGGGTCGTCACTGTCATAAGAGACTGTTACCCAACACTGAGTGGTGGGGTCGTCAGTGTCATAAGAGACTGCTACCCAACACTGAGTGGTAGGGTCGTCACTGTCATAAGAAACTGTTACCCAACACTGAGTGGTAGAGTCGTCACTGTCATAAGAAACTGTTGCCCAACACTGAGTGGTTGGGTCGTCACTGTCATAAGAAACTGCTACCCAACACTGAGTGGTAGGGTCGTCACTGACATAAGAGACTGCTACCCAACACTGAGTGGTAGGGTCGTCACTGTCATAAGAGACTGTTACCAACACTGAGTGGTAGGGTCGTCGCTTTTATGAGAGACTGTTACCCAACACTGAGTGGTAGGGTCGTCACTGACATAAGAGACTGCTACCCAAAACTGAGTGGTAGGGTCTTCAGTGTCTGTCATAAGAGACTACTACCCAACACTGAGTGGTAGGGTCGTCACTGTCATAAGAGAATGTTACCCAACACTGAGTGGTAGGGTCGTCACTGTCATAAGAAACTGTTTCCCAACACTGAGTGGTAGGGTCGTCACTGTCATAAGAGACTCTTACCCAACACTGGGCGGTAGGGTCGTCACTGTCATAAGAGACTGCTACCCAACACTGAGTGGTAGG